CTGGGTTCAATCCCCAGAACCGCTTAAAGCATGAGAACTCTGACATGGACCATGTCAGGTCCATCTGACATCCAGGTTCACGGTCTTCCCCACTGTACACTCCGTATCAAGAACATGATCATTATTAAGCACCTTCTGTTTAGACGATACTCACAACTTATGTCTTCTCTCTGTCTGTCTCTCTCTCTCTTTAAATTTGCCCAGATGTGTATGAGTAACTCACCATAAAAATCTTACCTATTTGGCAAAGGATGAAATTGAGATTCAAAAAGGTGAAGGTACTCAAGGTCACACAGCCTACTAAGGCTTAAAGTGCTGTCGAATTGATTTCCAAGTGCAGAGCAAGCCAAGTGTTAGTGCCTGGCATGAGTGCATCTCTCATACACACTACTGAGTTTTTAAAAGGACAACAGCAGCCGTTTACCCTTTTGTCCAGTTTCTCTGAGCCAGATGATTTGGAGGAGTCCTCATGATCCTTGCGTATATTGTCCTGACTGCTCTCATATTTAGCTTGACACTCATGGTCTGGCAGGTCATCCCTGCTTCTTCACAGATGGATGTAGCCGTGTGCCTCAGTTACGGCCTAGCAAGAGCTCTCCCAGAGTGAGCCTCCTGGCCACCTCTAGCTCTGGTCCTTCAGGGTTCTCTTCACAGTTGGATGGCAAATATGGTGCCCAGGCGACACCTGGGGCCACCTGGGGGAGGCTGAGTCTCTCAGGATGTTGGAGGTCCGCAACCTATGAGTTCCAGCAATGGTGGGCACACCGAGCTGAGGAGCCTTCTTCAGAACAAAAGGAAGCACAAACGGAAGGGAGGAGGGAAGCCCAATGTGAGCCTGCAGGACTGGAAGTCAACGGTCATAGTTAACTACGTCAGAGAGTTTGAGGCTAGCCTGGGATACATGAGAGCCAGCTCAAACAAACAAACAAACAAATGAAACAAGCTTTGTGGCTGTGGTTCAGTGGGCGGTGTGGCACCATGCAGACACACAAAGCCCTGGTTTCCATGCCTAGCACCTCACCAGTGGGGTGGGGTCAGGGGTCTAAGATCAAGCCTGCAGCCCTAGCTGAGGAATCAGAGCAAGGTCAGAGGTTCAAGGTTAACCCCAACTACATGGCAAATTTAAGGCTAGCCTGGGTTATATGAGACCCTGTCTCAAAAAAAAAAAAAAAGTGTTTTGTTTTGTTTTTTTTAAATAACTTTTGGTTTGTTTTTTATCCACTGAGCCATCTCGTCCTCCCCAGTTAGACAAAGTCTTGGCTAAGTTGCCCGGGGTGGTCTTGACATCACTTTGCAGCTGAGGCAGGCCTTGAACCCACAGTGGTGCTCTTGCCTCAGCCTTCTGTGCTGGCTAGTTTTACGTCAACTTGACACAAGCTGGAATTATCTGAAAGGAGGGAACCTCAATTGAGAAATGCGTCCGTAAGTGCCAGCTACAGCGCATTTCCTTAATGGGTGATTGATGTGGGAGGGCTCAGCGATTTCAGTCCTGGGTTCTTTAAGAAAGCAGACTGAGGGCTGGAGAGATGGTTCAGAGGTTAAGAGCACTGGCTGCTCCTCCAGAGGTCCTGAGTTCAATTCCCAGCAACCACATGGTGGCTCATAACCATCTAAAGTGAGATCTGGTGCCCTCTTCTGGTTTGGAGGCACACATGCAGACAGAATACTGTATAAATAATAAAAATAAATTACAAAAAAAAAAAAAAAAGGAAGCAAACTATGAGGAGCAAGCCAGTAAGCAGCGCCTCCCCACACACCCACCCCAGGCCTCTGCATCAGCTCCTGAGTCCAGGTTCCTGCCCTGTTTGAGTTCCAGTCCTGACTTCCTTGGATGATGAACAGCAATATGCAAGTGTGAGCTGAATAAACTCTTTCCTCCCCAACGTCTTTTGGTCACGGTGTTTCTCCACAGCAATGGTCACCTTAAATAATTTTACCTTGGGACAGATTGCAGCAAGCAATCTGCTAACATTGGTTTTGATCGGTCGGTCTCAGCTCCCTCCTCTCTCCCCACAACACCCTGATATCTGTGAGGTCCCTTTTAACTCCATGTCCATGTGAGGCCCGTGATTTTGGCGGGAGCCATGAGTCCAAAGAAGGTTGAATGCACCGCGCTGGCTAACCAGCAAATCTTATTGTTCCACCCACAGAATGGATCCAGGGATGGGCACATATCCCAAGCAGCAGATGCGTCAGCCTTTGGAATTTGGAAGGAAGGGGAGTAGGTTGTTTTTCTGGGAACTGGACTCAACAGTGTAATCCAGGCTGTCTTTGAATTTATGTCCTTCGGGTTCAGCTTTCCAGATGCTGCGATTATGTGTGCGCACCAACAACCCTGCTTCAGTCCTCGGGATTTTGCTAGAATTCCGGGGAAGGCACTGGCTCCTTTTTTAATTTAAAATGACATGTCATTTATTTATTTTGTGTGTGACATAGGCAGGGGCACGCGCGTACCATGTGACAGGTGAGTGAAAGTCCAAAGACAGCTTGTTGGAGCCAGTTCTTGCTTCTAGGGCCTGAAACTCAGGTCGTCAGGCTTGGCAAGCAAATATTTCCCCCCACTGAGCCATCTCCTCAGCTTGCCTTCTGCTGAGATGAACCAGGGAGGCCTAAAGCTCAAAGGAGCCCATGACTGGTCACAGAGTCCTGAGACAGGGTGTGGCTGCCCCTGAAGCCCAATCTGTGCTCTCCACATGTCAACTTCATTCTTCCTTCAGCTGAGGTCACTATAGTGGGTGATGTTTGTTCTCCTCCACTCACTTCCCCACCCCTTGATTCTCACCGTCCTCAAGCATGATGGACTGGGGTGGAGGGGAGTTCCCAGCACCTATGATTTTGGCTCAGGGGTTTTATCACCCACAGGTGTTGAGAACACAAGTGTGAAAAATTTGGAAGGGGCACTCCCCTGGGGGCCACACTTTACCCAGGACTGACGGAAGCTGGTGGCTCTCTTGTCCCCACGTGGATGCACTACCGCACGTCCCAGAGTGCCCAGTGCCCTGAACCCAGGAGCTTAAGCTGGCACCCTGCTAAGTGGCTGCCTTTATGCCAGCTCGCTCCCTCCCTTCTCCCTGCCCGCTCTCCAGCTGAGTTTCAGAACATTGTCTATTTCCCAATCAAACCGCCTGCACACAGACCATGTCTCCGACCCATTCCCTAAGCTTGGCTTCCGACCCGCACAGCTGAACTGCTCTAACTGACGCCAAGTGTAAACATGCTTTTAAACATATTTGCCTCACGGGGCTAGTGAGATGGCTCAGTGCTTAAGAGCACGTACTGCTCTTCGAGAAATCCCAAACTCAGTCCCCAGCACCCACCCCACATCCGGTAGCTCACAACCACCTGTGACTCCAGCTCCAGGGCACTCTGACACCTCTGGCCTCTTCTAGGACACACATGCTCATGTGAAAACCCACATATGGACACTTGCATACACATAATTAAAAATAATAGCTGAGCACGGTGGCGCATGCCTTTACTCCCAGCAGAGAGGCAGAGGCAGGTGGATCTCTGTGAGTTCCAGGCCAGCCTGGTCTACATATCAAGCTCCAGGACAGGCAGGACTACATAGACTCAGATAGACTCAGTCTCAAAATCATCATCATCATCATCTTTAAAATATTTGCCACGTAACTGCATTTTCCCAGCCCCTGAGCTTTGCCCCTGAAGCAGGGCGTGTGCTCCAGAAGGTTAACTTACAGTATGCACAGCAGAAAGGCCAGGCAACAAGCAAATCCCCTCCCCCTTCCCCCTCCCCTCCAGGCTCCAGGTGCTGCTTCCTCCCTTCAACTCCTGCCTCCACCCAGTCCATTCCTCACCCGGCTTGGACAGCTTCCCCTCCCTCCTCCCTCCACCCTTTCTTCTGCAAGGCCTCCAGATGATAAGAGCACTCCACGTCATCTTCCTGTCCCTGACCCGAAAGAACCCAGGGGCCTGTGATGTAGACGCTGACGTTCTTTCTTCAGATGGAAACAGCAGGAACAGAGAAGTTCCCGAAATGTACCATTCATTCATTCATTCATTCATCCATTCCCTCATTCATTTATTCACTTATTCCTTCAACGAATACTGAATGAGCATTTGGGCAGGAAGCTCTAGGTTGCAGTCAAGTAGAGGACGAAGGGTCTATGTTGCTCAGTTGGGGGAACGCTTGCCTAGCAAGCATAAAGCTCCAGGTTCCATTCCCAGCGCCTCGAAAACTAAGCATGGCAGCGCATGCCTGTGACTGTAGCACTTAGGAGGTAGAGGGAGGAGGACCCAGTTCAAGGTCACCCTCCGCTAGGAGGGGGTTTGAGGCCAGCTTGGGAGACCTGAGACCCTGCCTTAAAAAAGAAAGAGAGAACCAACCAGAGCCACCTGAGCAGAAACTGATTCATTAAAAGCGGTAGAGGAGCTGGAAAACGGCTCAGAGGTTAAGGCTGTTGGGTTCCCAGCACTCGCGTGGTAGCTCACAACCATAAGCCCAGCCCCAGGGGATTCTGGCCTATGCAGACAGCAGGCATATAAATGGTACATAGCATACATACAGGTGAGCATATCATACTTATAAAATACAATACAATTTTAAGTTAAAAGCACTGGAGCTGGAGAAGGTGGCACCCACCTGGGGTCCCAGCACTCCTGAGGCAGACTTGGGGGTGAGCAGTGGGGGGGGGGGGGACTGCAGAAACTTTGGGTCTAACCTGGGCTACACAGTGAGACCTGTCTCCAAACAAAACGAGGCAAGCACACATTGGTGGGTAGCTAGATGTTAAAGACACTTCAGGGGCAGGAGAAACCTTGCCCACTGCTGGTTGCTCCAGCAGCTGCCACTGCTGTGTCCGCTGCCACCTCTGCTCAGGGCTGGAACGCAGAAGACATTTTCAACTTTTTATTTTATTTATTTATTTTTTTTTGAGACAAGGTCTCACCGTGTAGCTCTGGTTGTTCTGGGACTCCCTATATGTAGACCAAACTAGCCTCAAACATACAGAGACCTACCTGCCTCTTTTTTTTTTTTTTTTTTTTTTCAGAGTGCTGGAATTCAAGGTGCGCCCCGTCATGCCTGTCCTTTAATTTTTTTTAGTTTTTATTTAGCATGTATGTGTTGTACTGGGGACTGAACCCAAGGCTTCGCATATTCCAGACAAGACCTAGGTCTGCTTCTTAATCTGGCTCTCTCCACGAAGCTCTGGCTGGCCTCGAGCTCACTGAATAAAGCAGGGTAGCCTCAAGCTCACAGAGATCCATCTACCCCTGCCTTCCAAACGTTGGGATCATAGGCTAAAAAGTATTCTAAAATTCACCTTCCTTCCTTCCTTCCTTCCTTCCTTCCTTCCTTCCTTCCTTCCTTTCTTTCTTTCTTTCTTTCTTTCTTTCTTTCTTTCTTTCTTGTTTTCGTTGGCATCAGTATGTCACCAGTGTAAGGACACAGGTTTCGTCTTTTTTTTAATTGTCATCACTAGGCCCACAGGTCCTTGAGCAGCCCAGCTAAGTGTTCAATACATATTTGTTGAATGAACACCGTTCTGTACTCAGCAGGTTTGTTGGAGCTGAACAGTGCCACGACAGGCACTTTCCGGGGTCGGGAGTTCAAGAGAATTCTCAGTTACATATGAGTCTCTGTCTGAAAAACAAAACAAAACAAAAACTCCACACCAAACCAAACTGAAAGGACATTAGACAAAGCAGAAGTCAGTGAGTCAGGACCCTATCCACTCCCAAACACAAATATGGGATAGGACGGAGGAGGGGACCCAAATGACCCACCCAGCACTTAACAGGTTCTTCAGAGAGCAAGAACTTGAGCAAACAAGGGCGACTTCATGTCCAGGCAAGAGCTACCCAGGCAATACAGTCCCCAAACACAAGGCCAAAGGCGTGCAGGCCACTTGCTGTAGGGAGGAAGGGTTGGCTCAGCTCCCGCCCACACATGGAATCAGCCTACCTTTCCGATTATGAAGTAACATTAGCTCCTTATTATACTAGATACTCTTTTGAATTTTAATTTTTATTTATGTGTATGCTTGTGTGTCTGTGGGTGCTGTGTGCAGGTGCCTTAGGAGGCCAGAAGAGGGCGCCAGATCCCTTGGAGCTGGAGTCAGTGGTGGTTATGATTTGAGGTGCTGGGAACCAAAACAGGGTCCTCTGCAAGAGCAGGAAATGCTCTCAACTACCGAGCCATCTCTACAGCTCCTAAAGCTGTTTTCCTTTTTCATTTCTGTTTTGTTTTTTTTTTTTAGATTTATTTATTTTATTATGTGTACAATGTCCTGCCTGCATGTACACATGAACCAGAAGAGGGCACTAGATCTCATTATAGATAGTTGTGAGCCACTATGTGGTTGCTGGGAATTGAACTCAGGAACTTGGGAAGGGCAAGCAGTGTTCTTAACAACTCTGAGCCATCTCTCCAGCCCCTAAAGCTATTTTCAAAGCAGACATATTGGTACACACTCGTAATCCCAGCTCCAGAGAGGCAGAAACAGGACCATCTCTGTGAGTTTGAGGCCAGCCTGAACTGCATATTGAGAGCCTGTTTTAAAAAATACCAACATCAAAAACCAGGGCCTGGACTATGACTGTTGGTAGAGTGTTTGCCTGGCATACATGAAGCCTTGGGTTAGGCACCCAGAACTGCATAAAGCCAGGCTCAGTGGCAGACGTCTGCGATCCCAACACTTGAGAAGTGGAGAGGTAGAAGCAAGAGAGGATTCCAGGTCATCCTTGCTACCCACGAAATTCCAAGCCAGCCTGAGCTGCCTGAGACCCCGACTTAAGACTCGTCAACAGCAAAGAAACCAATTAACAATTTTAAACCACACGGAAAACGTTAGAAAGTGAAAAGACATGAGTTCGAAGCATTTTTTTTTTTTCTTTTCAAATTACCTCGGATAGCGTGTTCACTGCTTGAATCAGATTTAAGTTGGAAGGTGAGTCTGTGCTTTCCTTACACACTGTTGCTTGGCGTGTCCAGAGTCCCACACTTCGCATGCTCACGGCTCTCTGTGCACTGCTGATCCACTTGCAAGTCACATAGTCCTATGTCCTGTGTGCTATGACCAACAATGGGGAAACCAAGGCACAAAGCAGTTGAGTGAGTTGCACACTCACAGTTGAAGGTGACCTTGCAGGGATTCCGGTGTGGGCATTCTGCTCTGGGTTGTTTCCTCCCCACGGCCCACCCCGGTGCCACGCTCTTTTCCTGTTCCTATCTGCGGGCAGGAGGCGGCACTGATGCCCCTTTTGGTGGGAATTGGGTTTTCCACTCTTTTCCTGGCAGGAAATAGAGAGAAACTTCCCCTCTGGGTCTTTTCGGACTTTAGAACGCTATGGTTAAATGTCTCCACGCCTGTCTGCTGACCAGGAGGGTGCTTTGTCCACCTTGACTGGTCAGCCCACCACAGATGCAGGTTGGGGTTGGGGGTGGTGTAACAGGCGTGGCTCTGGGTATCTCGTGAGCTCTCTCACTCCAAAAATAATATTCTGAGCTACAAATGGGGGGCACAAATGAGGGCACAAAGGGTGGTGGTTCTGTGATCCAACCCTGGACACCTGGTTCTGGCCTCCCGCTCTGATAGACAGCTCTGTGCTTCCCTTGGCTGGTAGCTCTGAGGTCCTCTGAGCAAGACTAAGACTAAGGTCCCTTCTGTCTCTCCGTCTTGTTTTTGTTTTCTGAGACAAGGCTTGTCTGGGTAGCCATGGCTGTCCTGGAACTCCCTCTGAAGACCAGGCTGGTCTCAAACTCAGGAATCTGCCTGCCTCTGCCTTCTGAGTGCTGGGATTAAAGGTGTGCACAGCCACCACTCCAGCTCTCTTTCTGTCTTCACCGCCTCATGAAGCCCAAGCTGGAGACAAACTCACTATGTAGCTGAGTGTGACCTTGAACCTCTGATTCTCCTGCCTCTGCTTCCAGACGCTGGGATTACAGGCATAGACCATCACAACCAGTTTATGGGGTGCTGAGGGTCGAACCTAGGGCTTCTTCATGCATGCTAGGAAACCCTTTACTGACTGAACCGCATACAGTCCTGGCCTCCTGCTTTCTGTTTATTGAGACAGGGTCTCAGGCAGCCCAGCTTGGCTTTGATCCTGACACTATCGCTTTCACTTCCCAGGGGCAGGGACTACGTGTGTGTTCACAGCTGTTTACGTGGGGGGGGGGAAGTCCCCCATGTTGAAGACAGGGCATTCCTGAGCAAGCCACCTCCCCAGTCCCTACACCCCCTCCTTAAACAGCCACTGCTCAGACCCCAGTTCTGCAGTCCTTGGTTGTTGAGGGCTGGGCCTTCGGAGCTCAGGACACCAGAGGCAGAAGCATCACACCTGTCTCTCTCAGATGGCTGCTGGAGTCAGTTCTTATGGCTTCGGGGACTGAGAGCCCAGTTTCCTTATTTGGAGACACAAGGAGGCAATCCTCTCTGTAGTCAGGAAAAAAAAAAAAAAGCGCTGAACTGGGCAGCCTGGAGGACAGTACCTGAAGCCTTGGGCAGGGTCGGGGTGCCTACCGGGGTACACACTAAAGCGCTGTGAGCAAGAGTTCTCAGAACCCATGTTCATCTTACACTGGCCCTTCCGAGAAGCTGAACAGGACTTCAGTGGTTGTAGGGGGGTTTGGAATGTTGCAATTCAATCACCTTTTGCCTTAAAAGCCATCTGTTGAATCTGTGTGTGAGCTGACATCTGGCTATTAGGCTATTAGGTAAATCTTTTTTCCCCTTCCCCCCAGACAGGGTTTCTCTGTGTAGCCTTGGCTGTGCTGGACTCACTTTGTAGACCAGCCTCGCCTCAAACTCAGTGATCTGCCTGCCTCTGCCTCCCGAGTGCTGGGATTAAAGGCCAGCTCCTTGGGTAAATGTTTAAAATGCACAGACCTTGTGTGCGCCCCAACTGAAAGGTTGAGTGTCACCAGACAGCACCTGAGGCCGGCAGCAGAGATTTACCTGACTAACTCATGTTACCACCAGTGTACTTTAAAACTGTCTTGATTTATGACTTTCTTCTTTCTGCTACTATAACAACTTCCTAAAACTGCTTCCACATTGGAACATGGAATGTGAGGTGATTTAAATATGTTCCCTGGCCACAGTCCCTGGTATTTGGCTCCAGAATGCATTCTGGCTGCCTTGGAGGAGAGAGCTGTTTTGCATGGACCATGCTCTTTTGTGGAGGAGGAAGAAAGAAGGGAGGGGGCTTTGTGACTCAAAGGGTAGGGAGTGAGGACAGTGCCAGTGAGAAATGTCAACGCAGGGCCCTTGCTTCCTGTGACTAAGCGGGCATGGCAGGCTGGTGCCTTTTTAGTTTGGGAAGAGGATGGGCAGTTAATGAGCATGTCAGGCATGGGTAAGGGCTTTGCTTTCCTCCTCTGTCTGTCCCCAGCACGAAACACTGCAGTCTAGGGGGCCTTTTAAAATTGGGTAGGGCCTGGAGAGATGGTTCAGTCATTAAGAGTACTGTCTGTTCTTCCAGAGGACCCGGGTTCAATTTCCAGGAACCACATGGCAGCTCACAACTGTCTGTAACTCCAGTTCCAAGGGATCTGACACCTTCCCACTGATGCACATAAAATAAATAAAATAAAATAAAATAAAATATTAAAAAATTAATTGGGTAATTGTTTGTATTTTACTCCAGGTCAGATGTAGCCCAGGCTAGCCTCAACTCTCTGCCTTGAGCACCTGATCCTACTGCCTCCACTCTACAAAGAGGCATGGCCCCCACTCCAGGCTCCTTCCTCCTTCTTCAAATTCAAACACTTTGCTGGAAGTAAGAGCAGCACACTGCTTCTGGAAAGGACCTGGGTTTGGGTCCCAGCACCCATACTGCAGCTCACAACTGCCTGTAAGTCCATTTCCAGGGGATCTGACATCCTCTTCTGGATTCCGTGAGCACTAGGCACACACACAGTGCACAGACACGGTGCAGGCAAAACACTCACACACATGCAAACAAACAAATAAACATTTAAGGAAAAATAACATGTTTTTCACAGCTCAAACCACGCATTATGTGCCTCACTCATACCAGTTCTACCTATTTTTAATTTCCGTTTTAAGGTTTTTAAATATCCTTCCCCTGGTTGTAGTTGTGTGTGGGTTTTTTTTTTGTTTTTTTTTTTTTTTAATTGAGGTATACAACCCAGGAGGCCACTGAGCAATCAACTTTTCCAAAACCCAGTGGAAACTAGAAATCCCTGCTTCCAATACAGCCAGTTGGAGCTCATCAGTTTTGTATTGGGATCCTTTGTTTTGGAATAGTGCACAGTAGCTCACGCTTGTAATCCCAGCACTTGGGAGGGAGAGGCAGAAAGATAAAGTGTTCAAGGTCCCCCTCACAGCATGAGTTCTAGGCCAGCAGGGGTGCAGGGGAGACTCTGTCCCTAGTAAATAATAATATATAGTAATGTTGATGATATTAATAATAGTAATAATATTAAAGAACTGGCTTGGCCATTAAAGGCACTGGATACTCCTCCAGAGGACCCAGGTTCAAGTCTTGGCACCCACACTGGGTTGCTCACAATTGTCTGTAGCTCTGGTTCCAGGGGACCTGCTGTTCTCTTTTGGCCTCCACAGGCACCAAGCATGCCTGTGATATATAGACACACATGCAGACAAAACAGCCGTACACATAAAGCTGAAAGCTAAAAGCCTAAAACTAAAACTAAAAAACCTTGTGTTGTCAGGCGTGGTGGTGCAAGCCCCCCCTTCTAGCACTTGGGAAGCAGAGATGGGTGGGTCTCGACGAGTCTGAGGCCAGTTAGGGCTACATAGTCAGAGCCTGTCTTCAAGAAAACAAAAACAAAAGACAAAACAAAACCAAAAAGGGCCCAAAGATGCCGAGTGCTGTAACCGGAGGACTGATAAAACTAGTAGGCCAGCCTGACCTACGTGTAAGCACTGTGCCAGAGAGAGGGCAGACTAGCATGGGTCGATAGTCGAGCTCCCTTACTTAAAACGTCACGGTTTTTCTCCTCCTTGCTTCCTCCCAGGTCCCCCACGTTTTCTTTCTCACAGGAAGAGATGCCCAAGTCTTCACTGTTTGCCTTCAGTTAGCTCCGCTCTGGGCGCGGTGGGCTCTGGTGGCCTTCACACCTGTTCCAGCCCACACAGTCCCCCTCCCCAGGGCGTCATGTGGTCACTCTGGAGAGACCAATATTTACTGCTGACTTTTATGGTGGCTCTGTAAACGGCCACTTCAGGGGAGCCCCAGCGTGAGCCTCTGGGCATGCACAGTTCTGCACAGTTCTTCGAGGTCCATAGTTAATTATTGTCGGAACCCCCTCCACCTCCCTGGCTTGTTTTTCAGCGTTCCGTGCCAGCTCAACTCCAAACTCTGCCAATAATCCGAAAGCCCTTTAGCTGATTCCCAAGGAATCACCCCAGCCACCTTCTGGAGGAAATCGCTCACTCTCTGGGGTGCTCGGATCTGCTCCCCTCTGGACTGATTTCCCCGACTGGTGCCTGACCACCATCCTGGGATCTCCCTGCACCATCAGCTAGGGATCTGCTGGCTTTTCTCAAACTCTGCTGGGGGTCCCTTTCCTTGGTCACATGTCACGCTTTTCCTTGCTTGACTCACCCCCTCTACCACCCTGAGAAAGGATGTGGGTGAAGTAGACATTCTGAGACTTTCAGATCTGACAAGGGTTTTAAATCACACCTATTTTATCTACAGATGGGGCTGATGAGTCACGGCACACATGTGGAGGGCAGAGGACAGGATGAGAGAGTTGTCTCCATTTGTCTTTACATGGGTCCAGAGTCCCACTCAGGCCTCCAGGCTTGTGAGTCATGTCCAGTCTGCTTCTGACTTCTGAGTGCTGAGCTTCCAGGATTACTCCATTACACCTGGCTTGTTGGTCCGATGTGGGAGCCTGTATTCCCTGTCTCCTCTAGAAGGCTACAGGGTTTTAGTTCATAGTGACGCATCTTAGCTGGATCCCAAAGCCAGATTCTCAAATAGACTAATCTTCTCATTTTCCACTTTGTCACCATCGGTCTCCATCCTTTACTCCCAGAGCTCCCTGGTGCATTGTGAAGCCTTTCAGAATTTTGAGGATTTACAAGTCCTTTTTGTTTTTATTTGATTTTTTTTTTCTTTTCTGAGATAAAGTTTGTTTGTGTAGCCCCAGCTGTCCTAGAGATAGCTCTGTAGCCCAGGCTGGCCTTGAACTCATGGAGATCCTGCCTTTGCCGGGCTTAAAGGCCTGCGGCAGATTTGCAGGTTTTCAAGAGTCACTGGGGACATTTATGAGCCCGGCATCCCCGAACCTCTGGGGGCTGGAACTGGCCGAAACTGGGAAAATAGATCCTCCCTGGCTCTCCATGAGGAACGCAGCCCTGCCTGCCCCCTCCTGCTGAACCCCATGAAGCTGCTCTGCGAGGGAGCCAGGAGCTAACTAATAATGCACCTGATCCCTTCACACCGCATCTTTCACCGGTTTACTGCTGTTTGTTTGAGACGGGGTTCCCTTCTGTAAGTACCCTGCCCTGGAAGTCACTCTGTAGTCCAGGCTGGGGATTATAGCATGAGCTGCTCCATCTGGCTTGGGCCTGTTTTTGCGTTTGAGATTTATTTAATGTTTTGCCAGTGTGTGTCTGAGCTACATGTGCACAGTGACCTCAGAGGCTGGGAAAGCCTGCATTCAAGGCTATCAAGACACTGTCCCAATAAAACAACAACAATAGAAACAAGACAAAAATAAGTGGGGTTGGGGTGACAACATGAAATATACAGTTCTCACCTCAAAAGGTCAAAGAGATAGTTTATTCTAGGGCCAAATATGAGTGACTGTGACCCAGGTTCAGGAATTCAGGTGTTCCCAAATTCCACATGCCAACCTGGTAACACTGAGTGATTTTTTTTAGACTTAAAAAGGTTGTGTGTGTGTGTGTGTTTTGTGGTGCTCTTGGAGGCCAGAGGACAGTGACAGACCTCTTGGAGTTTCAAATAACTGAAAGCTACGATGTGGGTGCTGGAAACTGAACCCAGTAGCTCTGGCTGTCCTGGAACTCACTCTGTGGATCAGGCTAGCCTCAATCTCAGAGTTCCGCCTGCCTCTACCTCCCGAGTGTTGGGGTTACAGGTGGGTGTCACCACTGCTAAGCTTGAAGCAAGTACTTTTAAGCACTTGGCCATCTCTCCAACCCATACTTTATTCTAACATATATATATATATATATATTACTATTTATATCCTACATATACATATAAATTAGATAGATAGATAGATAGATAGATAGATAGATAGATAGATAGATAG